TTCCTTCCTTCCTTCCTTCCTTCCTTCCTTCCTTCTTTGCATTCCCATCTCCCTCCTTCCTCCCTCCCTCCCTCCCTTCCTCCCATCCACACATCTTCCTCCTTCCCATCCAAACATCTTTCTTCCCTCCCTCCCTCCCACCCATCCATCCATCTTCCTTCCCCTTGTTCTCACCTGATTTTGTTTTCCCTGCTACTTCTGCCCTTTTGTTTTCGTGTCTTTAAAAGTTGTAACAAGCTATTAAACGGCCCAGAGCTGCTGCGAATCAGGTGGCATATAAATTTAATGTATTAATGATTGCGGTTATGGTTGGCCGCACCGTCAGCCAGCAAACTGGCCTTTGATTTCTTCCGTTAACATTTTGACAGCTTGGCTGTTTTACTTATTTATTAAGAAAACCGATAGGGCTGCCCAACTCATGGGTGATTCCAGGCAGCTTACAAAGATAAAACCCCAGTAAAAAACAACAATCCCCCCCCTCTTCTGGCAACATCAAACAGACCGACCATTTGAGGCTCTCTGAATCACTCTTGGATTCCTAGACCCATTGGCAAAACTGCGTCTTCAGTATCTTGTGAAAGAGTGTCAAAGTGGGGGCCTATCTGTTCTCTGCAGAGATGTCCCAAAGGTGCTTTTTTCAGGAGGCAACTGGACTTTCTGGTTTTTCCTTGAAGACGTTTCGCTTCTCATCCAAGAAGCTTCTTCAGCTCTGACTGGATGGTGGGGAATGGAAGGATTTATACTCCTCGCAGACAGCTGGTCATTTGCATCGTTTTAGAGAGTCGTTGAGGCTACTTGGAGGTTTACCTGTGTCCTCAGGGTCACCTGAGTGGTGCAAATGGGTGTGGAGCCTTCTTGGAACTGCTGAAAGGACTGGGTTGTAGACTGGAGACAGATGATAGAAAAACCTCCAGGTGGCCTCAACGACTCTCTAAAAGAAGGCAAATGACCAACTTTCTGCAAGGAATGTAAATCCTTCCATTCCTCACTATCCGGTCAGAACCGAAGAAGCTTCTTAAATGAGAAATGAAGAAAAAACAGAAAGTCCAGTTGCCTCCTGAAAAAGCACCTTTTGGACAACCATGACCTGGATGACGGAGAATCTCCATAGACACTCTGCAGAGATGATGTTCCATAAGAAGGGAGCCACCACAGAGAAGGCCCAGATGGACCTCCTTAAGAGAGGGGATCTCTAACATCCCCTGTCTCCCTGCTCAGGTAGAAATAATAATAACAACAACAACAATTGTCGATAAGAAAGACCAAAAAGTCTGGATAGTGGACGTGGCAGTACCTGGTGACAGCAGAATAGACAAGAAAGAACTGGAGAAGATCACAAAATACAAAGACCTACAAATAGAAATAGAAAGACTGTGGCAAAAGCAAGCAAGGGTGGTACCAATAGTAATAGGCGCCTTGGGTGCAATCCCAAAACAACTGGAGCACCACTTGGACACCATTGGCATTGACAAATTCACCATTAGTCAATTGCAAAAGGCAGCCTTACTAGGAACTGCTTCCATCCTGCGACGATATCTGTAATAGCATCAAACATCCACATCTGTCTATCCCAGGTCCTTGGTAAGGACTCGATAGGTAGACAAAAATGCCAAATCCAGTCTGAACATCTGGCTGACTGTGCGACGATCAATAATAATAAAAATAATAAAGGTGGAAGGGACCTTGGAGGTCATCTAGTCCAACCCCCTACTCAGGCAGGAAACCCTACACCATTTCAGACAAATAGCTGCCCAGTCTCCTCTTAAAAACTTCCAGTGTTGGAGCATTCACCACTTCTGGAGGCAGGTTGTTCCACTGGTTAATTGTTCTAACTGTCAGGAAGTTTCTCCTTAGTTCCAGGTTGCTTCTCTACTTGGTTAGTTTCCATCTGTTGCTTCTTACGACTAGGAAAAGACGGTCCTTCAAATAATCTGGTCCCAAACCACGTAGATCTGAGACCAGCTTATTTGAGTGCTCTTTCAACTCTTGTCTCCTGCAAATTTCCACGGCTTAATTACTCCACCTTTCCTGTCATCTGTTTTACCTTTAAAGCAAATTATGAAATAATGAGCTAAAATAATTTAGATTCTGCAGGCGTGCACATATATTTGGGAAGCTGCCGTTCCATCAGTGGCACGAACCTGGGCTCAGTTGGAACTCAGCACCATTTAGGGGACCACCCAGCACCCGTTTCTGCCCTAGAATATCCTCAGCCAAAGCTGTTTTCTGTCTCCGCAGTTTAACTTTATGGAGTTTTCATGGCCTGCTTGTGCTCAGCAAAGCAGTTTTGCTCCAGTTTTTTTTTCCGTTGCGCTCAGAATCTCCAAGCTGCTGTTCTGGCATCCCTTTCTGAGAGCTGAGAAGCATCCTTTCGTCTCTGACTGTGCCGTTAATTACGCTCCTTGGACCAATTGTGTTTCTGCTTCGCTTTCTGAAATGCGCCTCTTTCCCCCCCCCCCCCCCCGCAGGGTTTGAACTCCAAACCCGTGGTCTCGTTTATAGCCGGAGTCACTGCTCCTCCGGGCAGGAGAATGGGCCACGCAGGAGCCATCATTGCTGGTGGAAAAGGTGGAGCCAAAGAGAAGATTGCAGCCCTGCAGAAGGCTGGGGTCATTGTCAGCATGTCTCCTGCGCAGCTGGGATCCACGATGTACAAGGTCAGTCGAGCAGTTCTTGAAAAATCTGGGTAAACAAGGCTGCTTATTTGAGGAGTCCAGGCAGAACCCAAATCTTGGCCGCTGTGAAGCCTGCTCTATTTCTTTCTTAGGTGGGGTAAAAAAATGGACCGATTTGGAAATGTGCGTTCCTGCCCTTATTCGATTGTGCGTTGTGGCTTTCCTGGCTTAGGTCCCATTTCATGTTTCTTGCGAGGTTAAAATGAGGCAATTGTTACCTGCCAGGCTGAGATGGATGGATGGATAGATGGATGGATGATGATAGATGATAGGTAGGTAGGTAGATGACTGATGGATGGATGGATGGATGGATGGATGGATGGATGGATGGATGGATGGATGGATGGATGGATGGATAGATAGATAGATAGATAGATAGATAGATAGATAGATAGATAGATGATAGATAGATAGATAATAAATAAGTAGATAATAAATAGGTAGATGACAGGTGATAAATAGGTAGATATAGTGGTAGGTAGGTAGGTAGGTAGGTAGATAGATAGATAGATAGATAGATAGATAGATAGATAGATAGATAGATAGATAGATAGATAGATAGATAGATAGATAGATAGATGACAATAATTAGGTAGATGACAGGTGATAAATAGGTAGATGATAGTGGTAGGTAGGTATGTAGATAGATAAGATAGATAATAAATAGGTAGATGACAGATAATAGGTAGATGATTATGTAGGTAGGTAGATAGATAGATCGATATATTAGTAGAAGACATAATAGGTAGATGATTAGGTAGGTAGGTAGGTAGGTAGGTAGGTAGGTAGGTAGATAGATAGATAGATAGATAGATAGATAGATAGATAGTAAATAGGTAGATGATGGATTAGATAGGATAGATAGACAGACAGACAAACCTGTTACCCTTATTATGTTCTTGTATTGTTCGCTGCCCTTAGCACTCAGAAAACAAAGGGTCATTATACAGAATTACAGGCTGTGCAGCTTATCGATAGTGGCTGTAGCCCTCCGGATCAGCTAAAAAAATTCACGTTTGCCAGCCTCCGGCTCCGGCAGTTAGCACTCATCTGCCTTCTTGTGAGATCAGAGCATTTTGACAAGGTGCTATTTGCAGGCCAGGCCAGGCAGAGGCAGTCTGAAACAAAAGAAGAGAAACGGGAAAGGAAGACGATGGGGAAAAATTTGTTGCAGTTTTGCCTGTGGTTGTTAATGCTCGTGTCAGACGCACCGAGGCACTTCTGGGTTGAAAAGATTAGCCAGTGACATCACCGTTGCCTCGAGGATGCCCACTTGAGGGTTCCTTTCATGCCCCCGGCAGGAGCTGGAGCAAAGGACAGGAGCTCACCCCATCCAGTGGCAACGCTCGGGTCTCAAACGCGAGCTTGCTCACCTCAACCGTGCAGCTTTGGTTAAAAACCTCCTTTTTCTCTTTCTTTTCTTCTTAATCCTCCAGGAGTTTGAGAAGAGGAAAATGCTATGAGAAAAGAATCTTAAGAACGGTCGGGATCTCTCTGCAAAAACCACGCACTCTTCACTTCCCTCCACGCCCTGTATTCTTCGCGTACTCCAGTTTATTTGTCGGAATACAGCAGCGCTCCGTCTTACAAAGTCAAATTTTAACACCACCAGGGTTGGTTTTGGTGGTGGGTTCTTGATTTCACACATGATTGTACGTGATAAGTCAATAAATCAATCTACTACTATTACTAAATTCAATTTTTTTGAAGCATGGATGCTGGGTACCTTTTTTCTTGCAATGTTCGCGTTGTATAAACGGGATTTTTTTTTAAAAAAAAAACCCAAAAACAGTGCCTAAACTGTTCAGAAGTTTTACCGACTGCTAAAATGTATACTTTAATATTGCTTTTCTGTTTGAGTTTGGGGATGTTATGCTTTGTATCTGGCTGGCGGATGTGCCTAATGCAGAAAACTATGCTTCCTGTGGTTGGTCCTCAAAACAATTTTTTTTTAAAATATACATTTTTTTCTCAGCTGTTTTTTTTTTTTTTCTTTCAAGGTGGTATTAAAATTCCAGGACAGAGTGAAGATTGTGGACTCAGTTGTGCTAGAGGCAAAACTGCAGGCGCCTGGGTGTGCAATTCATATTTTGTACTGATGCATTATATTCGAATTTTGCAAAAGCATCTTTTTTTTTTTATCCAGATAACAGCACTGCTTAGTCTTTTCAAAATTAAATTTTAACACCACCAGAGTTGTTTTGGGTGGTTCTTAGGCAGGTAGGTGTAAAGTTCTCACTCGTGAAATTTTCCCAAAGGAATGAGTAAAAGAAATAGAAAAGGCTATTTTTTTATATATCCGTGGACGAGGTATCTTGGAAAGTTTAAATTTAAAAAATCTGATCCTTTAGTTCCTTGCTCTGTTGAGCCCAGCCATGCTTCTGTTGGATGTTACATGTCTATAAATATTATGTAACAGTTTATTAAAATTCTGCATGTAGAATCCCCGTGTTGATTTCAGCGTGAAGACCAATCTCCACATATATTGTTCTTTTACTTATATCTTCTTCCATAATAAACATTTTCCCATCAAGTTCTTTGAACTCCAACTTCCTGCTTCTGTTTCTACATTAGAATCTAGTCCAACCCCCTGCTCAGGCAGGAAACCCTATACCATTTCAGACCAATGGCTGTCCAGTCTCTTCTTAAAAACTTCCAGTGTTGGAGCATCCACCGCTTCTGGAGGCAGGTTGTTCCACTGGTTAATTGTTCTCACTGTCAGGAAGTTTCTCCTTTGTTCCAGGTTGCTTCTCTCTTTGGTTAGTTTTCATCTGTTGCTTCTTGTCCTGCCTTTGGGTGCTTTGGAGAATAGCTTGACTCCCTTTTCTTTGGGGCAGCCCCTGAGATACTGGAAGACTGCTATCACGTCCCCCCTCGTCCTTCTCTTCATTAAACTAGACATGCCCAATTCCAGCAGCCGTTCCTTTCCATAAATAATGACCCCAGTATCAAGTTCTGCTGTTTTTAAATAAAATGCGATGTTTGCCATCCTTAACGAGCGATAAATGAAATTTGATGAAGTTTTCGGTTTGGTCTTCATTAGGCCTGGAAATAAAACCGACAAAATGATACCCGGCTGGTAATGTTGCGTGGCATTCATTACTTCCAAATGCTGAATTTGGAGGAAAAACAGCGGCGGGGGGGGGAGGGGAGAGAAAATACCAGCGTATTGACTCAGCCGTGTGCTTAGTTGTGGGACTCCCAAACACGGAGACTTTTTGACTTGGAGAATTTTGGCCAAAAGCAAAATCTTTTCAAGAAGACACGTCCAGCCTCTGGGAAAATCCTTTTGGATTGATTTAATAATAATATTAATAAAGTTGGAAGGGACCTTGGAGGTCATCTAGTCCAACCCCCCTGCCCAGGCAGGAAACCCTATACCATTTCAGACAAATGGCTGTCCAGTCTCTTCTTAAAAACTTCCAGTGTTGGAGCATTCACCGCTTCTGGAGGCAGGTTATTCCACTGGTTAATTGTTCTAACTGTCAGGAAGTTTCTCCTTAGTTCTAGGTTGCTTCTCTCCTTGGTTAGTTTCCATCCGTTGCTTCTTGTCCTGCCTTCAGGCACCTTGGAGAATAGCTTGACTCCCTCTTCTTTGGGGCAGACCCTGAGATATTGGAATACTGCTATCATGTCCCCCCTCGTCCTTCTCTTCATTAAACTAGACTTGCCAGCAACCGTTCCTCATATGTTTTAACCTCCAGTCCCCTAATCATCTTTGTTGCTCTTCTCTGCACTCTTTCCAGAGTCTCAACATCTTTTTTACATCGTGGTGACCAAAACTGGATGCAGTATTCCAAGTATGGCCTTACCAAGGCCTTGTAAAGTGGTATTAATACTTCTCCATTCTTTTGTGCATACACAGCTCCACAATTGTGCAGAACTATAATTTACTTTTGAGAAACTATTTCAGGTCACAGAAATGGATAGTCACGTAGTCGCCCACGGCCAGACCCTAAAAGAGGACTTACAACCCAGATTTGACAGTTCCAATGCCTACCCCCCCCCCCACGGTTAGGGGACTACACTTTGTGTCCATCACACCTTCCTCCTATTTTCCCCACAATAACAAATTTGAGAGGTGGGTTGGGCTGAGAAAGAGAGAGGGGCTGGTAGAACGGGGAAGTTGTGCTGAAAAGGTTGCTGTGTCAATCTGATTTAATGTCTTTGTGAACATACATTGATGGAGCCTTGTGTTATTTTACAGCTGTCTTCTTACGTGGTCACAATCAGACACCAAGTTCTTTCTGACTTTCAGTTCTTCACAGATAGCTTGAATTGCATTTAAAAAAAACAAAACAGTATTTTTGGAAACCTTTAAGCTGGAGGGATCACAGTTTAGGTTTGAGATGTTTCACTCATACATTTAAGAGCCAACTTGCCCCCCAAAAAAACAGTGGCTCATCTTTCTAAAATGCTGCTCGGGAAGTTAAAATAGATACCAACCTAACTTTCTCCCACATTCTTTCTCCCACATTCGGAATGGTTTTTTTCGAATTCCATCTTGTTGGTGAAGAAAATAATCCAATTTAGTTTTCTTGGATTCAGTAGCAACTGAATTCTCAGTCTGCTGGACCTGCTAAATTTAACAGGTACTTGATAGCCTGTGGACACGATTACTAGACCTTGTTTGTTATGTAGCCTTTGAAAATGAGCCTTTTTCCAGCAGGGAAAAAAGAAACTCAGAGATCTAGACATGAACAGAAGAGAATAATTTGTAGGGTTGAACTCTGGAGTCGTCGGTGCTGTTGAAGGAAAAGTCTTCATCATGGTTCAGTCGAAGCCGGGAATAAACAACATGGGGACTGCTTTAGAAAGAAGGTTGCAGTTTATTGAGGAGGAGAGCCAGACGGGAAGATGGCTCTGGAAGAAAAGAGAGCAAGCGCATGTAGGGAGTGGGTTTTTATACCCTCTGGAGCCTTTTGTTTGGAGTTGTTCCT